AACAAAAATTATTAATTTCCAAAATAGAGTTTGAGTTTGATTCTTACGGTCTTTAGCATTCATTACATGCCCAACCCTATCTTCTAAAATGTAGGGAGGGTAACGGGTGGCCCTACAAAAGTTTTACGAGAAGCTATTTATTTTAGTCATTAATTACATACTTACAAATGCGAATATGCTATTTTAACACTGCATTGAAACTTTATTCGTTATTTTACTGAATTTATTGCTAAATTCCGTGCTGAAGTATACTAAAATCAATAAACAAGATACAAATTTACTCCAGTTGTTTGGCGTCTGACAATGACAGTGACATTTCACGTAGCGTATGTATTGTAATTCATTTTGCGCAGAATTCATTGAAAACATTGTAAATTGATTTTAGTACGTATTATATTCAATACTTTCAAGACGGCACAAATTTAAAGAGAAAATATGAATTGAGGCGTGGGGAGGTAGATCTCATCGTACTTAACTCGATCAGATTTTTTTGATTATATAAGTCGAACATGTCCTTCGCCTGGTGTAAAACGGCCCACTCACTACCTGCATGGCAGTCCACCGCGCAGGCAGGAGCCTACTCACATACTATCCTGCATAAGGCCCACGTATGGAGTCTTGCAGGACTCATCGCAGGATTACTGGACATCTTGGTCGCTGCGACTACATTCATAATCTTGCATTACGCGGTGGACGGCAAGGTGGGCTGCAATGCAGGATAATGAATGCCCCCTTTAAGCAACACATCTGCAGTATCCACTCAAGAGCTTTATGTCACAAATATCTGAGGGGCACTGCCACTGCGCCCGTCGTCACCTTGAGACATAAGATGACAAATCCGATGTAAATTTAGCAGTACCCTTAAAAACCGGAGCTAGATGTTCTCAAAAAGGCTGGCTTAATTAAAAATAAGTGGACATATATAAAGAGACTGATGGAAGTGGAGGAGGCGAAGGCTTAACAGGAGCGTAGCAGGTTGGATTCATGGTTTTTGCCTACCTCAACGGGAGATAGGCGTGATGATGTTTGTATGTGAATAGTTTTTAAAAGATAATCGTGTCTTTATAAACCTGTCATTTTTACTTCATAACAATATAAGTTTGCGTCTTCTATGTATTCATTCGTTTCAACCCTGTATCACACACGGCTGTGTACAAGCCTTCACTCGTGTTAAACTTTCCAGCTCATTTGTTGGTAGGTCAATGTTTGACCGTGACTGATAAAATGTCATCAACCAACTGCGCTGCTGCACGATCTGAATTGTTTCAGCTTGCTCTGTCTCCATACAAAATTATATTTAAAAATATTAAATTCGTCAAGGCGACATCTGTTTGCCCGCCGAAGACGGCAAGCTACCAGGTGTAAATAGTGATTGGCGCGGGAGCCCTGGCGTAAGCTAGGGCGGCCGGGCGGCGTCGTGGTGAATGTTCACTGATCCTACGGCGCCGACTCAACCGGCGAGAGGGAAACCCGGGGGGGTTTTAGTGGGGTAGGCCCTCCAGTCTGGAGGGAGAGTCCCCACATAACCCCTGAGTCTCCCTGGGTTCAGGGGTGTCCATAAAGATTTTCCCCCCGTCAAAAAAAAAAAAGGTGTAAATAGTGAGTCGTCTGACGACGGTAGTTTGTAGCCGAAGTCGAAGCGTCTAGGTGCGTCGGCTTCGGCAAGGCAAAGTAGTCTGTCGAAGGAGTTTACGAATTTTTCCTTGTGCTTGTTGCAAATCTTTGTTTTTAGTATTTAACGAATTTTGTTGCCGTAGCGCCATCTATGAGAAATCTATGAAAGCTTATCTTCAGTCAGACAGGTACTTTTACAGTTACCACCAGCAGCTAACTAGAGAAAGCTTTCATAAATTTCTCATAGACGGCGCTACAGCAAAATGTCGTAAAAAAAAGCAAATATCGGCAACAAGCACAGAAACATTCGTAGGTAAGGTCCGCTAGTTCATTCCGTGGCTTAGTTGGCATAGTGTCTGGTACAGTTTGCTGGAAGACGTTTCGGTTCGAATCCAGCAGGATCTCAGGATTTTTTTATATTACAAATGTCATATAGTAAAAAACTTTAAAGTATTCTTAAAAAAAAAACTCAAAAGTCACTGAACAAAGTTTGTTTATGATGATAGTAATCTATTCCTGCAAGGTTGTTAGTATGTTTCAAATTTTAATAAAGAAAACGACCTCAGCAGATCGTGGAATTACATTTATTTATCAAGTTTCATTGTGATCGGTTACCACAAAGTGCGCGAAACCGGATTCATCTCCTAGTTTGCAACCCTTAGATGTGGAATATTTTCTACATGGGACCAATACACAGGTACCCTCATTCCAATAAAAAAAGTAATCAAAATCGGTTCACAAAGCTGGGGTAATGGCGTAACATAAACACAAATAATAATGTAGTCGAATTGAGAATCTCCTCCTCTTTTTAAGTCGGTTAAAAATAAGAACAATAGATCATAGTTTAAAAGAATTCGTTGGCGTTTTCAAATTTCTTAATTACAAGTTTGAATAAAATAAATTGTATAACCGGCCTGATTATACAACTGTCAGTTTCTTAACGTCATCTAGCCGCCAAAAAAGAATTTCAGTACTCACATCCATATATAGCACTTGACAACTAACATAGCATTATATAAAAAATTGCATTAAATTATATTTTATTTCAAAATTGCGATATATTAATAATTTATCACCAAAATTTCGCTATATTTGTATGTCATTCGTATACGACTTAAATTCAAAGTGACAGGACAACAATGTCGCTTTGAAATGAAATAGATAATATTAATATAATTTAGCAATTTAGAAATAATACTGTGTTAGTCATGTGTTAGTTGTCATGTGTGATATATGGTCCACATTTAGGTCACGTAATATCAAATGTACTGATTCGATCGATTGGTAATAAGCTAATAAGAGATTAACTACTTCATTACTAATAATAAAATGGATAATTTCTTCTCCAAGTTCCCGAAATCAGGGATAGATGGCACGTTTCACCAAAAAATAATTAGTGTCTGATTTCCAGTGCAAGTCTGTGATAGGTATTAACTAACTCAGTTTTTTTGGCATAACTTCATACCTTTTGACCATGACACATTAAAAAATAATTCCCTCTGAACTTTCGTCAAATAACAAACCCACGGCACACATTCAGCTTCTATTAACTCTGTTTAAGTCTTCTGTAGTTTATTTTGATATAATAATACACCAAATAGATTTTATTCAATTACGTAACACAACCTCCAAAAAACTTCAAATTGGAATATATTTAATTCTAGACTTTTCAGAATAGTAAACCCAAAATAAAATTTTTCAGAAATTTCAACTCTATATATTTATATATTTTTCATAAACACGCATACAAATTATGTCCACAAAAATTTATGACATAGGAGTTTGTTACTGTTCTTTGACAAAAAAAGTAACTCAAGAATAGGCGCAACGCAAACATGATGAAAACAATCAATTACTTGGTTATAGCTTGATTTTTCATGAGTGATTACCTTTTTGTTTCTAAAATTTAGGCGTATAATCCCACATGAAATCATATTACCATCGTAACTCAAAGTTACGTTAGGTTAAAGTTATCCGTAGCCGAACGGTTACCATGCAGGACTGCAACACAGACGACCCAGGTTCGATTCCCAGGCCGGGAGAAATATTTGTATGACCTACATTTATTTCTCTCGTGAGTTTGGGTGTATTTTGTGGTTATCAAATGTGTGTCCAAGACACCCACGACACACAGTTTCCCTAGTGCGGAGCTATGTTGAGTGTGTGCGTTATTATGTTATTATTATTATAATGGAATTGAGAAAACACGATTTGAAAGTACAAAAAATATTGAATGGGACCAATAAATTTATATTCTAGTTTTAAGTGGATAACTAATTATTTTTGAATAAATAAAATAATCCCTTTCGCAATAAGATTCATTCGGATTTTTTTTTAATTAATTTCAATTCCAAATTCAACTTCAATTCCATTATTTTTTAGTTACAACAGTATTTCCAAGTGCTATTCAAAGTATCAAGTGCATTACAAAAATAGCTTACAATATAACATATAATAATTCTAAGTATTGTTTAAAAACTAAATAAATTACTAAAATAGTAATATTAATTTCGTTATTTCATAATGCGCCAGCAGGCTTAGCATGAGTCCGAAGACAAAAGTTATCTCTTCTTCAAACTGTCAATTTCCTCGAGTATTTCAACTGAAATATTGACAATTCGAAGAGGAGATAACTTTTGTCTTCGAGCTCATACTAAGCATGCAGAACAGTAAATTCCTAGCTTCTAAGGATCCATTACACTACACTTTATTTCTGGAATTTTTACTATTATTGAATTTAGCTAGACATCTTCCGGTCCCTCCAGTCGCGTAGGAATTTTGGGAACTGGAGAGACGCTTAGAGAGAGTTAGAACTTAGAGTCGACGGCTTAGCGGTGGCAACCGTTAATAGCACAACGGGAAGTGAATGTGCCTCCAGCTCTGGTACCATCTGGAAAATAGGGAGGGAGCTGTACGTGCACCCGAGGCGGCTCACCTCAGCCACTGCCTTTTGAGAACTTGATGAAGACCGTGCAAACAGGCGGATCTGGGGTCAGAACCCGACTGAAACGGTCCCAGTGCGGGCTTGCTTGCACAGGTTATTGTGCCCTTCCCGCATAACCAAGAGGTTGACTATAGAGGGTCACTAGAAACAAGTTATGTAGAAAGATATGGGGCTGTTGTTGAGTTTAATAATATGTAAGGATAGTCAGTTTGCAGTTAGGATTAATGGTAATCCTGTCTATAAATTTATATTTTATAGCTTTGTCAAGGAGTTGAAGAGGTTATTAAGGGAGTCAGTAAATTAAGAGCAGGATAAAATCAGAGTACCATTTATGGAGACGTACTCACTAGGGTAATACTGGCCAGCAGTTCATGTAGACACATTGTATGACACATTATTGTCAGGTAAAAACTTTAAACAGATTTTGCTAATCGACAATTACAACATTGCCCTCACCAGTTTCAGACTCGTCTGTAGCGTAATCAGAATATTTCCTTTGTCTTGTTTGCCGCCTTGGTCTATCCGAAATAGTCTTTTTTATTTTCTTTTCGTGTGATGTATGATATTGTTCATCATTATCTGAATATTTAATTTTAGCTTTCCGTCCGCAGTTATGTTCAAGAAACCGTTGTTTTTGCACAAACTTTCTATCACACTCGTCGCACGAAAAAGGTTTGTATCCAGTATGTGTAAACTGATGACGTACCAAACTACTCCGTCTTGTAAAATCTTGGTCACAAACTTCACATTTGTAACGTTTTTCTCCTGTATGAATGAAATTGTGACGTAGCCATGCACTGTAATGTGTGAACCGTTTGTTACATGTTTCACATTTAAATGGCTTCTCTCCAGTATGAATCCTCCTATGATTAGTCAGATTGACTTCCTGTGTAAACTCCTTGTTGCAAATATCACACTTAAATGGTTTTACATCACTGTGATGGTATTCATGCTTTTGTAATCCTCGCTTATTTGTAAATTGTTTACCACAAACACCACAAGCAAATGGTTTTGTGTCACTGTGGATTAATAAATGAAAGTCTAGACTGGTTCTGACAGGAAAATACATGTTACAAACCGGACACTGGAAAGGTTTTTCTCCTGTATGAACTTGCATGTGAGAGAAGAAGTTGTTTCTTTCCTTGAATTGTTTGCTACAAATCTCACATGTATATACATCTTGATCTATGTGCGTCCGACGATGTTTAATCAAACAGCTATTCCAAATAAATGTTTTAGAACAAATATCACATGTGAAAATTTTTTTAGCTTTGTGGTTTACATCGTGCACACGTAAGTGACGTTGCAAATTACTTTTATCAGCAAAATATTTGTTACAAAAGTCACATTTGTATGGTTTCTCTCCACTGTGAATCCGTGTGTGCGTCTGTAAATTATGTTTCTCTCTAAATTGTTTGTTACAAAGTTCGCACACAAATGGTTTGTCGCCATTGTGTAATTTCATGTGTTTTTCTAAATTCTTTTTGTTTTTTACCCGTGTGTCACAAATTTCACATTTGAATTTTTTGTCGTTATCTTTTAAGTCTTTTTCAATATCATTATTTCTTTTCTGTGAAGCATCAGTTTCACGTAATTTGATCAGTTCCGTAGTTTCATTAATTACACATTTAGGGTACAAATAATTCTTTTTTATTTCAATTGACTGATCTAAAGGATCTTGTTTCTCTGTCACTTCTGTGGCATTTGTATCATTGATAGGTTCCATATTCAGTTTTTCCATATATCTTTGATCGGTTTCCATATTCCAATTTTGATGTACTGCATCAGTTTTTGACACATTCTCAGTTTTCTTTTTATCTCTATCTAATTTTAAATCAAACTCGATTGCCATGCTATTAAGGTCATTGCTGTTGAGCTCATCGTCAAGTACAGGCTCGATTTTTACATATATGGACTTAAACACTGCATCACTGTACATGTTAGATTCATCCATGGGCGATGCCATTTAGTTCAATTTTATTTGTAGAAGCTGGAAAAGACAAAGGTTTTTGCTTAGAACATATACATGATAATGTTAGGCCTTGACTAAAAATAATAAGGGGCCTCAACTTGTATATGGAATGCCAATCGGAAGTTCAGAACGACATTCATTCTAAATTTTGGAATGAATAAATAGAATTTACAAGAATACTGTGAGGAATTCTTTAATTTTTATCAAATTATCAACAAAAAGTGACATCTAGGCATTGAT